GTTCAAGATAGGACTGGAATGGGGAAGAATTCCCCTTTATGATCACGAGCAAAAGGCAGACTCGTTAGGGGAAGAAAAATAGAACATACATTTATTACAGACACTAACAACACATAACAGAGTAGGACAGTAAGAAGCATTGCCACACCTTGAGAACACCTTCCCCCCACCCCTCCCTTCTTCCCGGGCTCAGCTCTGCTCCCGATATCTCTACCTCCTCCCCCAGTGACACAGGGGCAGGGAATGGGGGGTGCAGTCAGCGCTGCCACTTTCCTTATCTTCGGTGAGGGGAGTGTCCAAAACTTGTTCCTCCTGCTCCATTGTGGTCCCCCTCTCACAGCAGACAGTCCTCCACAAACTTTCTCCAACATGAATTCCTCCCATGGGCCGCAGCGTTCCCCACACTGCTCCGTCATGGGTCACTAACTTCCTCCGACTGGAGTCCCTCCCACGGCTGCAGCCCTTCCCGAGCTGCTCCGGCGTGGGACACCCCCACATGCTGCAATCCTCCCAGCGCTGAATTACAGCAGCGGGGCTGCCTTTTCCCATGAGACCCCGGCCTTCTTCGGGCACAGCACCTTGATCATGCAAGCAGAAGCCACAGGCCATAAATCAGTGTCTGCTCCACCGTAGGTCTTCATGGGTGGCGGGGGGGGGCGCCCTGCTCTCTCACCACAGGATACAGGGGGGTCTCTGCTCCGGCACACCTCCCCCCTCCTTTCTTCCTCCGTTCCTCCACTGACCTTGGTGTTCATGCAGCTGCAGCAACTCCTCCTCACAAGTCCCACTGCTCGTCACCACGTCCCTTCTTAAATACGTTATTGCAGAGGCGCAGCCGATTGGCTCAATTTCCCAAACAGAAGTGGAGCTGACGTGGAGCTGGGGGAGCTTCGAGACGCTTCTCACAGGGGGCTGCCCCGATAGCCCCCTCCCCTGCCACCAAAAAACTCCACCACTCACTCAACCCAGGACATTTGTTTATTTTTATCCAAAGATTATGTGCTTTTTCTTTTTCCCTTGGAAATAGTTCTCTAGCTCTGTTTCTGTTTCAGGCCAAGATTAGAAGAAGAAATGGAAGGTCGAATCTTCCCTTTCTCTTTTTACAGCTAATAAAGTGTCTGCTGGCCGCACAAAAATGAGGCCATCCTAATTTGTAGCTTAAACAAGTGTGAGCTCAGGTGGAATTCCACAAATGGAATATATCCATTTGTGGCATGATGTTGAAACTTGAATTTTGGAGCAGTTGCCACAGAATAGCAAGTGGATTGGGTTTTCTTTTGGGGAATTGGTTTACTTAAGTAAAATCTTGACTTAAAACAGCAGAATTTAAACAATCACTTTATTTCCCGCAATGTTGGCTTATTGGCTGATTGGATGGCAGAATAAGACCTGGATATTTAAAGGAACTGGATGAAAAGATAGGTCCTCTCACCAGTGGGTTTTATTATAAAAGGGATCTTTGGTTAACATATTGGCAATTTGTAGTGCCCAATGTCATGATGGTTATGGAGCAGAAATGATTCATTTTCAAAGAGATTTTATTTTGTCCAAGCAGAAGTATTTTAAAATTATGATATATTAGCATTATTGAAATAAATTAATAATTAAAATAATTAACATTTCATGCTTAGCCAAATTTGGTAACTTTTCTGGTAAGTTTGACTTTGAATTGTGTACTTGTCCAAATATTTTATATTTCATTGTTTTTCTTGTCTGTCACTTGTACATCCACCTGAGGTGTTTATACTATTGCCTTGTTTTTAATGTACGCAAGGGAAAGATAAAGTAGGCTACTAGCCTTGCATTAAAAGCATGACTGATAGATCTATTTAAGCTCACAAAACCTCAGAGCATTTTCAGAGATGCATCTGAAACCAGAGTTTGACAGCCCACCTGTAACTCATTCTCCAGGTATTGGTGAAGTCTCAAGCCAGAATTCAATGATCCATATGTTTCTACAGTTAAAACTACCCTATTCAAGTACAGCAGTGCAAATGAAAGACTGAATTTGAGCTCAATTTCTGCCTATGATTGAACAGATTTTTTTCATGCTGGATTAAACCTTTAAACTCTCAGGATGAGAAGGAAATTTGCCTGCTGGTGAAGGCAGCGTGGATCACTGAGCAGTACTGGGTTCGTCTGTGCGGGGGACTACTTTCCCGGAGGCTAATCCAGTTCAGCTGAATGTGAACTGTCTGAGGACTATTGCAGACCTTATCTTTCCCCCCTGAAAAGCAGATGTATTTCATGCTCAGTATCAAAAACTTGACAGAATACTTAGAGGATAGTATGAGAGAAAATGTACTCCATATAGCAGATGGCATGCAAAGCCATAGTCCTATGGCTTACTGACAGCTACAGTTCTGATAGCCCATTGCACTATTAGACTCTGCCTGTACCAGTAAATAAGGTGGATAAGGGCTTGTTTTCTGGCCCTAACAGTGACTGGCACAGCATGGCTTGTGTCCATATGGCTAAACCTTCTCTGCTCTGCAAACAAGTTGGCTTCATCCATTCTGTCTACTGGGAACAGCCATGGCTTGAGTTACCCTCTGAACCATAGCCTGGGTGTTGCCTGGGAGAGTCCTAGTTGGCAGGGCACCAGTGCTCTGCTGGAATCTCTTCGTTAAATGCTGTGGATCATTATGGACAGTGACTGAGTTAGTGAACTCATCTGGATCAGGCCACTAAGTTAGATGTAGTAATAAACCCTGTGTAAGGACCATGTTGGAATCTGATACAGTCTAATAGTCTCCTAAAGGTAAATTTAATTAGTCTACAAAGAAGAACTCTACCAGTTCTTTATGGAAGTGATTCATGGTCTACAGATGAGATTCAGTTAAGTGTTTCTCTGTAAACTTAACCCACTGTGTGGGACATCAGCCCTTGATCAGAATAGAAACTTTATTAGTAACCACACTGTCTTTTGATGGTTCCTATGTACAGGTAGGCAGTGTACAGACGGTTGCTGCAGCACAGTCAGAGAACGCAGAGCATGCGAGATTTTGTATCACTGAGCCTTTCTGCAGGCAGTCTGTGATGGAACTGAGTGTGCGAATCTACCTTGATGTAGACAGGTGTTGCTTTGGGGTTTTATTCTCTTCATTCCGGAATTGGTGCGTGAAACTAATATTACCCAAAAAGTTTATTTCATAGTGAATTTCTGAGAAGAGAAGCTTGTCTCTTCCAGACATAAAATGCAGATCAGCTTTTGCACGGAGCTGGTGGCTGATGGATACCTTGCAGTTCCTGGCAAGCCCTGAAACCTCAGAGTAGCTATCCAAGCTCATTTGATACATCTAAATGACAATGAAAAGTCCAACTCTGATTACATTTTTAACAGAATTAGAAAAGTGTCTGAACTTGTTAGAACATTTTTTTTTTCTATCTAGGTATATTTCATGGCTGTGTCGTACTACATTTGTCTGGTAAACCTTTTAAACTATTTTATGCTTCTTTTCTGTTGTCAGTTTGCAAGAAACCCTGATATCACTTTACTGAAATAGAAATTGCAAAAATACAAGGACTGACCATGTGATAAATGTCACTCTTACTTATTTTATGATTTCCAGGCAACAGATTTATGTCAAATTATGGCATTTTAATGACAAAAATGCTAACATTTTCAGAAGAAATTACTTACTTGCAATAATCACTTGGTTCTTGAAAGAAGCCACTTGGGTCTAGGTGAACACTGTGTGCTGAACTGTTAGAGGGGGTAGGGCTTATTTTTTCCTTTAAATTCCGCAGTGCTTGGTGGACAGGTTGTGCATATGAAATCCAGTGTGTTTGTTGACTGCCTCGGCTTCTGCAGATACCAGCCAGAGTAGAGACAGAAGTAGCAGAGGGTATGTTCATAAGAAGTACTTCTTTACTGGAGTTCTCCAAGATGAAGTCTCGTAGCCTCCATAGAGGTATTAAGTTTGGCACAAAACCTACTGGGGATAAGTTTAGATTCTCTTTAGCAATGACAGATGGTAAAACTGTTCAGTTTATTTGTTCTCAGTTTACTGTCTAACGACTGTGAGTGGTATATTTTGTTAAAAAATGTGTGGGTGAGTGACAAAGAATGGAGAATGGGACTGGTAAGAGGGGGAAAGGAGTTGTAAGTAGGGGTACTGCAGCAGGAGTGCAGGCTGGGAGGGAAGAGTGAGGGACAAAGATAGGAGTCTAAGCTCAACAGAAATGGGAATAAAAAGATTCCTACATGGATCCAGAGGCTGAGTATGGTTGCTTCAGTCCAGGGAGGCACTGAAGACTGATGATCTGGGAAGTAAGACTGGATGAAAAGGACTGTTGCTCTCCTCAGTGTTATTTTCAGAGAAGTTCCATAGCACCTAGCCAATCTTCAGTTGAGGTTTTACAATCTGAGAAACTGGGGCAGTAACAAGTAAGGGGAGGTTGCAGGTTTAAGTGACTGCATTCTCCTCATTCAATAACTGGAGTATTATATTGTTCACATTCTGGTCTGAGATGCTTATTGGGAAACGATTGTTTATGAAAGATGCTGTGTTAATTGACCCTTCTTCTCACAGAAGTAACTGTGTATGGCTTATTGTTTCTACCTATATATAATGATATTATATATAAGTATTATTTCTAGAGGTGCTTACGTAGATGACTTTTTTTCCCTGAGTCCAATTATTTATCTTTTTTTATTTAATAATACCTTAGTGTGTGGCTGTTCCTATTGATTTCACCTGAATTACTTAGTTAAGAAGTATATGTACACGGACCAAAGGGATTTGTTTCAGCTTTTCCAGAATAAGTTTTTGTATTTCTTTATTAATAAAAGGGCTCAGTTGCAAGATTGATTGCGATGGGGTTAGTATTGAAAACTCAGTATAGATCTAATTCTTGCAAGTCTGTTGCCATTTAGAATTCTTATCCGAGGAAAAACAAAGGGTAGTGAAGGTGGAAAAATCAATCCTCCTCCTCTTCTTGGACCCTCCACTGGGCATTGTTTTTGATGGTTAATAACATTTCTTTTCTTTTCATAGGCAATGTTCAGTCTCTGCATGGTTGAAAGCGAAGCTGATGAGGTGAATTTGCATGGTGTCACAAGCCTTGGTTTAAAACAAGCCCTGGACTTTGCATATACTGGACAGGTATTGTACAGTTCTTCAAATTAAGAGACACAAACGAAAGCAAACTGCAATAAAAGCTGAAGATGCCCTTTACAGAGGTACTAGAAATTATTTTTCTTGTGCACTGCCCAGTACAAGGTCTTTTGATTTAACAGATCTTACCTTTTATAGACTGTTGTTTGTTTTTTGGTTTTTTTTTTTTTTTTTTTTTCTTTAGAGGGATTGTCTAATAAAAACAATGTTTATATGAACTGTTGCCAGGTAGTGAACTATGTAGGACTTTTATGCCCCTTTTATGGTGGCCTGGCAGTCCATGAAAACGTAATGTGAGTTGATTCTGCATGCTAAATTAAATGTAAAGAAAGGAAAAATACCCTAAGTGTTTTTCCAATAATAAATATTTATAAACTTTACTGTGTGTGACAAATTATATAATCGAGGGGAAAAGTAGTCTCTTATTCTCTGGACAGATACAGTCCAAGCATCTTTGTAAATACTTATAGGTACCATACGTCTCTATTTTAGCACTTTTTATGGTAGCAGGTTATATATCACATTATGTTACTTGAGCAAGTGCAGAGTGAAGCTCCTCTTCCCTCTGCCCACCACCCAGAAAAACCCCACAAAGTATATGTGGCCTGCCATATCTCTGCACTGCATGTGTGGACCGTGTTGCTGTATGACTTCATCTCAGTTCAGAGTTCATGGATAGTGAGCTCAGAACACCCAGCTATTTTTGCTTTGCGCTCTAAAATTCTAGATAACCAAATTATTTCTGGAGATGTTGCTACAATAGTTGAATCCATTGATATATATTTATTTGTTAATTTTGAAAAGGAAAGCTTAAATCCATATCACGTTATTCTGGAAGAGTTGTCGGGTTGTACAAATTTAAGGCATCTGTTTCCATGCTGTGGATTGAGTATATGTCCTTAATTTTTTTCAAAGAGAATTAAATTGAAATAAGGAAAGAAGATTTTTACCTGTTTTAAAGGAGCCATTTTCATCACCAGCCCATGCAACAATTATACTTTAACATTGGCGATAGAGATTAGCACTTGAAATTTCTGTGTCTCTGTTATGGAAAACATTTATTCAATGATTTCTTTGATATAAATGGGAAACAGAGACGCCATGCTGTGTTACTGAATTGGCTGAAGGTCTTGGTACATGACTTGCCATTGGTATGCTTTTTGTTCTTTCAACTGAAATTTTTGATAGATAAAATTCAATCTCTCCTGTGCAGTTGAGCACCTGTATCATCTTAGTCATCTGGAATTATAGGTCAGTTATTCTGAAGAGGAAACTCTTTTTGCTGAATGGAAGTATCTTCTGAGAAGACCAGTTGTAATTGATTTCTGTTTTACTCATCCTGTCTGCTGCGAGTAGAGATATACTCCCCTATCTTTCAGCGAAATTCAATGTCTAATAAACCTGTGTAAAATACATTAAGAACCTTGAAAGGATGGATTTAGCATTTATGCAAGTCAACAACCCACCCCACATTGCTTCCAGGATAGTATCCTCAAGTCCCTAGGAAATAACATGTGCCTTCTATCCTTGATCCCTTAGAGACTTTTGAGTCCTTAATTTTCGGTTATAATTTACTTTGAATAAATGAGTGAGCTTATCAAGTTAAATATAGATGTGCATATATGTACACTTGCTCATATATATATATATATATATATATATAAATAAAAGTGATTATAAAGCAAAGCTTGCTCTGTCATGTCTGTTGGATACACCAAGTACTTCTCTGAAGCACAGAGAAACAAGAAGGGTTCTGTAGAGAGTTCTTTTAAAAAGATGCCTTTTGAAGCATAACTCAATGGTATGTAGGCCTGAAAATTAGCAGTGTTGAATTTTCCCTTTTGCCCTTGAAATTCTCTTCTGGCACTGGGTTTACATGTATTGAGCATTGCTTATGTACTGACTCAGGCTGACAGAATCTCAGTGAGTGTTTCAAGGAAGTGAGTGGGAGTAATCCACAAAGGCTATTAATAAATAACTGGATTACTGCATGTTTATATCAGAAAGAGTTCTGAAAACAGAATCATCTTTAGTCTGGGTCTGCAAACTCTTTGATTTAGAAAACAAACAAAATATTTCTTAGTAACCCCAAAACCGCTCACGCCAATTACAAACTTAGATTGCTCTGAAAGTGGAGGTAACAAGAAATGATCTGATGTGCTGCTTTAAAGTGAAAGCCATGAACTCTATTTTAATTTTTTTTTTTAGCATGTTTGGCCAAAATGTTAATCCACAAAATTGCTGGTTCTTTAGGTAACACTGTGGAACTGACAACAATTTGGGGTCAGTCCTAAGGTATCCATGTCTAAACAGAAAAATACTTAGTTTCAGCTTTCTTGTCTTTATTACTTTAATATTTTGCTAAGCTTGCATGCAACTTGAAGTGTAGTATTTCAAATGTAACTTTCTGTGTAAAATAATATATTGGAGACATCTGGTGGAAATATTTAATACTACATGATGGCAATATTTCATGACTGCAGTTTTTGAAAGTTATCAAAATTAAGAAATTTAATTTTTAGCATGACATTGCAATCTGAAATGAAACTGTCATCTTTACCTCTTTTTAAATTTGAAATATGTCTGTGGACTTGATCTTTCTGTCTACTTAGGCAGATAGTGCCTTATTGCAATTACTGCTGGAAATATTTTGCTTTTAAGGGAAAATGGATTGTTTAACAGAAGAAAAGATTGTTGTAAAACTCAAGTTAAATATAAATAATATCATAATTCCAATTTAGCTAATCCATTACTGTGGTCCCTAATCATCACAAAGAAATAAATGTTCATATAGAAATAAATAAAAACTAACAAAAGTAATAGCAGCAGAATTTGGTTTTGTTCTCTGCATGTAGTCTCTCAGTAATCCTTTCATAATGAAATCTTTGGCAAAAAATGTCTTAAATACATTCCCTCTTGGCCATAGGCATTTTACCATTTAATTCTCATATTCAGAATTTGGAGATACAATACTTTTTCGTGCTGTAGCTGACTCTTTTCTTGTTGTAGCTGGCCTATTCTTTCTTCATAAAAGGGCTGTAAGGTCATTCTCTTTTACTTCACAGCTGGCAGCAATAAGGCAAGGCCAGAGTCTCGGTGACTAGATCACTAACCCTTCCTCCTCACCCAGGCATTTCACAAGTGGTGTATGTGCATTGGAAGGGAGATGGATGAAGTACAATCAATAGAGGAACTATGTATTGTAAGTTATTAATATAGAGAAACAGTTCTTGGTGCAGAGTTTGGAGCTCACAATTCCTTCTGTCAGAGGCTTAACCACTTAGAGAATCATGGGCACTGTTGCTTGATCTTTTTGACTTTCTTTGTTTCTTTTTAACTCTTCTGTTACCAGAAGATCTAATCTCATTTGGAGGAATGGGATAGTCCCTAAATAGGACAGTGTAGTTACTCGTCATTACAAGAAAAGGTGCTTTTGATCCAAAGAAAACCTTGGGCATCTGAAAAGTTTCAGCGCTGAAAACAGGCTCTTATAAACTATAAATGGCTTGAACTGAAATTTTGAGGTTTTTGAATGCTCCTCCAATTTATTTCCAGCAAATGACATCATCTATGTTTATCTCATATACATATGTAAAATCTAAGTGATACCATAATTTGAATCAGCTGACAGGCACTGTGGTATAGTTTCAAGAAAGAAGAATTTGTTGTATTTCCAAAGACAACACAGCAAACCAGCAACTTTATTAGGGCTTAATATCAAGTTCTCCGTGACCAAGCCCTGTTTTCCTAGCTGGCTGTCTTTTTTTTTTTTTTTTTTTTTTCCCCCTAAACTATAATATTTGGTTTCTGTATTAATAGAAATTAAGTTGTCTTCTTAAAGTTACAAAATTATTCTGAATAACCAAAACTGAAAAGAAAGAACCAGTGACGCAGACCTTACATAAGAAATGTTTTATGTTCAGCTCTTTCTCCAAAAGAGAATTTTGGGGTAATTTGTCCTGTCTTCTTAGCCCAAGATTAACACATCCTTACACCCTGCCTATAGAATGTTGAAATGTCTCCTTTTTTTGAAAGCCACATACGAAGTTGCATTTATAATGATTTGAAAATAGGCTTTAAACTTTCTGTTTCACAGCATATTTAACAGATTTTCTTTTACTCGCAAAATGCTAACACAGCAGCAGCCTTTATTAAAGGTAATATCAGTATATTAATCCAGTTACAAATCTAGAACTTAATGGTATTTTCGGATATATTTTTATTTCATGTGCTTGGATTGTTCTCAATACTACTTTAATGCATTATCAATATAAGTCCTACTTAACTACTTCCTTTATTTACTAACTTTACCTTGTATTCAGTTAGTTTAAAAACTGCCATCCGGTGACAGTTGTTATCACTTGACCAGACAGGTTTCATGAACTGGTAGGAATGCCTCCTGGTGATTTTTTTCAAATTCATGCACACAAACCTATGGTTAAAGTATTATTCTACAGCTTCTTTGTGAAATTGTTCTTTCAGCTTAGTTATTTCTTTAACAAAACCCATGAAATACTGAAAGGTCTTCTCAGATTGTAAAGAAATAGTAGAAACAAATATTTTTAGTACAACTATTTTTCCTGGTAATTGTTTTGATTCTTTTATGCAATCTTGGCTTTCATCTCTCATCAAATCCTCCCTTCTTTTGATGGTGATGGATTTTGTGGTGATCAACCAGTATTTTACCTGCCATTTTCAGTTAAGACTGGAGGGAGACAGCTATCAATATCTCAGCACCATTTATTCTGTTAATCCTTTCTAGCTTACTTGTGGATGAGGTGTATTGCAAAGCTGTATTGTGGCGGTTGATTTTCTTGGGTAAGTGGCCTCCTGTGTCCTGTGAGTAGCAGTTCCACTGGTTGCCTTTTGATTAAAATGAATCATAGGGGGTTCAGTTGAGCTGCCTGGCGTCCCCAGCAAAAGTGACTTCAACTATCCTTGTTCTTTTCTACCAGGAACAACATGCCAAGGTCATGGAAAACTGGTGG